ACATATACCTGTGGAGAGAGAACCAGGAGTCTAGCTGAAAAGTGGCAGCTGGAAGCTTCCACTAACACTGGAAGACAGGTACGGTGAAAGCGTTGAAATGGGTTAAAAAAAAACAGAATATGAAATATAATTTAAAGTAGTAGTTGTTCACAGCATGGGCAAATGAATATACAGGATTTTTACCAGCAGATGGCAGCTGGAAATGAAGGGCTATCCCACAGTGCTGTCTGCTGCCCTATCCTCTACTGGGATTCTTGTAGCCAAGGGTTAGGTCCAGTCTCTGCATTCCTTAACCCAATGTCCTGTTATGTGATTGATCAAGGTTAAAAATGTGGATTTAACCAAGCTCTGCTTGTTCCAACTGGACCACAGGACATTTATCACTGCATCAAACAACTGCGTTTGCTCCCTAGCTATGTCCTCAGCCACGACGTATACAGCGTCGTGATCTCCGAGTTAAGAAACACAGTATATAGAGAGATGTTCCTTTCTTTTATTACCAAGCCAGCAGGCCTGTTTGCTCTTACAGCCATCCCTCCCTTAACCAGCGAGGTGTGCAGCTCGGGAATCAGCACCTGGTTAACCTCCTGCTTCCCTCTCGGCACAGAAGCTTACCTTTCCATCCGAGGTGGTATTGATCCTGTAGTGGTAAACACGTCCTTCGTACCTGAGCGAGATGGAAAGCTGCCCCGGGCTGCTCTCACTTTCACGGACCAGGAAGCTGCCGTTGATGAGGCTGCTCAGCAGATACTCGGCTGCACTGCGCGACACCGGCCCATGATACCACGAGTGCTTTTCCAGGCTGTTCACTGGGGTGATGTAGTTGCTTGGTACCCAGCCCTGCCCGTTCTTTGAACGTACCTCGCTCCATTCACCATTCTGGTTATAACCCAGGACTCGCAACTTCTCCCCTGTGACCAGAAAGGAAAAAAAAGCAAAATAATCTATTGGGTCTCATTAAGAGAGACGCTCAAAATCCGCAGCCTAAACCTGCATTTGTAGCTAAACAATAACCTACAGGGAAATCATAATGCATTGCTCTATTTAAAATAATTTAAATTAAAGTTTCAGATAGCTAACAGAACAATCTAAGATACTGTTCCCAATTTTACTGCAGCTTGGATGATCAATCCCAAAGCTTCCTGTGGTTCAGATTTTAAGACCAGAGAGACTTTTTTATTTGGACGGCTGAGGAATGTCTCCATCTTGAAGCCTTAAACGGCATTTGATTTAAAACAGCTGTATAACAGCGCAGATTCTCATATATGTAGCGCATAAACAGAGATAAAAAAACGCCACGGGCCTGTTGAAATTCTTGATTTTGCTCCACGTGAAAGAGCGATGAGTTCTGTTATCACCAGTAATGTAAAGGTTCTTCTCTCCCGCTCCCCAGAGCAGGGGACCTGGGGAGCTCAGGACAACAACAGGAGCTGGGCAGAGTTGAGCAGCATCATGCAAAGCCCTTGCTGCACTAGAAGAACTGCCCGGCAGGTGTCCCTCCAACACAAGCGACCGCACACATACATCTGCCATCCGTGACCTAAAGAATAATCTCCAGCTCCATTCCCTCCTATTCCTTCCTGCAGAACGACTGCAGAAGGATTCAGCTTCATGTTTTGGGTGGCTGTTTGCAAGTTACTCGCCGCTCCGCGCTTACCTTTGGTGATGCTGAGCGTGTTGTCACCGCTTGCTACAAAATCGTAAAGTGCAACAAAGAGATTGGGATCGCTCTCGGTGGCTCCAAGCAGGTTCTCCTTGGAACTCCATCTGATGGCTTCGTTCAGGGCCTGGGGCTCAACATCCCACCCGTAGGGCCGGTGCAGGGCCTCTGGAGAAAGAGTGCGTGGGGAAATTACTTTGTGCACAATTGTAAACGAACCAAAACCCAGCGTCAAGCAGAGCAAAGCTCCTGCTTCACAGCTTGCCCGTCATGGAAAGGGAGCACCACATCTGGATATCTCAGAGCAGTGGTTTTCAGTCCCCACTTTATTGGCGCTTGAGGAATTCTGAGTTATTTCTAAAAGGAGAATGGAAAAGATGAATGATTTTTCTTGATTTTTCTATATTTTTCAAACAGCAAGATCATCATTAGCTTTCTAATCCACAAAGATGTTTTCCAGGAACATGGAGCAGAGTAAAACTCAGTATTAAGACAAGAGAAAGGGAGATTACGTAGCATCATGCATGTGGGCTGGTCAATGTAGGGGCAAATAAAAGATGGTGTAAGAATACAAACATCTCCTTTGATGGCAAACGGACATCTTCCTGGCCCACTGGGCATTCCCAAATCCTCTTGTTGAACTTATGCAAACAGAGTCAACAAAATGCACCCAGCATGAAAATCCCCTTTGAAAAGTTTGAGGCTTTCTGTGCTTTTTAGACGTGTTGGTGCAGTTATATGTACACAAAGAAGCAAATGGTTCAGGTTTGTACTATTTCATTTTTAAGCACACAGCTAAGTGGTGTTTCTGGTTAATAACTCCAAATGACGTTGCTTCTGTAACCTGCTGATCTTGCAGTTACTTAACAGCTTAACTCCCCTAACCCTTGCCAAGGCAGCACCCGACCTTGGCAGTACTCTCCGACCAAGAAGAGAAGTGCATAGACACTAAGGTGCCTAAATTTCACTGCTGCTATTTCACTGGCTGCAGATGCCATATCAACACACACTTCTTGTTCCTAACTATGAGTTGCAATTAGTTTTATAACATACCAAGAGAAAGCATAAGAAAACTGGCTGTGCAGCTGTTTTATGGAGTAAAAAAAAAATACGTATGCATTAGATAATACATTCTCCACTCTCCCACAGCGCCCTGAAGCAAAATCTCTCAGCGAGAGATCCGACGTGGAGGGTTTTCTTCCCAGTTCTTCTTCAAGAGCATCCAGGCCTTGCTCGAGCTGCAGAGAGGCGGCTGAGCACTGGGCTCCACGGCCAGGCAGCCCGAAGCAGCGCGGCTTGGTGCGGGTTCCCGATGTGTTACCAACACAAGGCAAAAGAAGCCAGTGAGGACGTTTAATCATTTGGCCACAGCACTTACCTAAAGATCAAATATTCCTAAGACCTTACGTCTCGCTAACTTCCTCCGTTCTCATTTGGATATCTGTGAGATCTACCTAGTTCTGTTAAGCTGGGAATTTGTCCGGGTATGCTAGCGCATAACAGCCTATGCTGTTCACCACGGTTTGGAAGCTAAACAGTCCAATTTGTATGGAAGGATAAGACAGACTAAGTTAAATACTATAAGGCCTCATCAAGGCACCATTCACATAGGTGAGGTGTGTAACAAATACAATGCCGCTGTGGACCATTTTGCAATTCGGTTCACACCAGGAGTGAGGAAATGAGGTGGAAATGGCTCTGTCTAAAACCAGCTCCTTTTAAAGCCTCACCACAAACTGCATTTTAGCCCTTTCCTTCCCTGCCCGACGGAACGCTTACATCCTGGCGGACTGCGCGAGCAGCACGGGATCGAGCAAGGAGCCTTCACCTCCTGCGTCTCCTTCCTTTCCTTTATTCCCACAAAACAATGTGCTTCTTTCTGGACTCCAGCACTTTTCCTATTCAGCCAGCACACCGAGGATGCCTCCCTGCGCCACCTAGGCCCAGGCGCCCATCTCCTGCGCTCAAGAGCAGGAGGCCAGAGCAGCACACACGAAGCCTGAAGTTTCCAGATCACTTCGGGTGTTGAAATGGTCTGATTTGCTGAAACACCAGCTGTGGCATCGCTCATAAAGGGCTCATAAAAATGAAGCATTCGACTCAATCCTCGAAACGGGTCCCATACGTGGCTCCTCTTGTGCCAAAGGAGGAAAAAAGAATGGATTTAGAATTTCACAAAGAAATAGGATGCAGGGACAGCACTTAAGCCCGTTCAGAGCTGCAAACTTGCTGTTTTAATAAGATTCAGGTTGGATCTCTGAAAGACCACTGTCGGATTACCCCTCAAAACCCTAAGGTTTGCTCGATGAAAAGCCTCAGCTTTCTAGCAAAGCTGGTATGATTTATGGCAGGAGAAGGCAGGGTTAAGAAGAAGGGATCCCCCCGTCTGGCTCCCATGCTGAGCCAGTCAGGGGCATGTAAGGGGCAGGCAAAGGGCAGTGGGTGGCTTGGCCTTTTGGGCAGGGAGATGCTCTCCCTGTCCGAGAGACTCTGCTCTTCTGTGAGAAAAGCAGCTGGACCCCGTGATAGAGTCACAAAGGACTAAAGGGAGGAAACGAGTGTCTCGACTTGCTCTGGATTCTTGCATCTTGTAGTTATGGAACTGCAAGCCTGCTAGCGAAGTCTACGGAGACCCTGGTTAGTGGTGACAAGGAACCGTTTTTCTCCTCGATGGCCTGAGCCACAGTTTGTCCCCCTGAATTCAATTAATGTAAAGAGAAAAAAAAGACAAAAAAAGAGATCTTATGACTCCCACGTGCCCTTGCCTCCCTGAGGCTCCGACACCCGAGCTCTCCCGCTCCGCCAGGACGAAGCCCTGCCGCACGTGGCCTTTGCCCACAGGCTTCCTAGGCTCCATCTGCTTCCCCTTTGCTCTCTGCCTCTCCCAGCTGACTGTGTTCTCTTCTCCTGTGGACACTGAACGCTCCTTATTCCACTGGCGTCTGACCTTGACTGGGTATCTGCTCAGTTACACACGGTGTAACAAGAATTTGTTGGAAAGACAGCGGAGTCTGAGTGGATAGAGGTGGATAAGGGCTGGCACAAGCAAGCAGACAGGTTGTGGCTGAAAACATGTGGATTTGTTAAGGAATTGGCCTTAACTGTAACAGCTTAAAAAGTGACCAACTTACTAGTTAAAATACAAGTTAAATACTAGCGAATATACAAGAGGTGTACAAGCAGTATTGCTGGAACAAAGAAGGCTTAGCAGAATGCTAGGCGAGGCTAAAAACACAACTCACATAAAAACACAATTGCTATTTTTCTAGACAGCTCCTTTCCCTTTTGGCCACCACCAGGGCACCTGCATCCACCATGACAAACGTCCTGTTCCTCTTCCCTTCGCAGTAAGGGTGCAATATAAGCCCTTAATTCAGCACACTCGGCATCCTCCGTGCAAGAACCCACCTTGAGGCACAGCAGCTCTTCAGCCTGCTCCCTGCGGTGCTGTTCAAAGCGGTTTCCTGAGACCATTTACTCTTCCTGTGCAATTTAAATCTTCCATTTGGAAAAACTTCTCCAGTTCATCCAGCATTAGGAAGAAGTTAATTGTAAACATCTGAAATATTGCTGACTACAGTGCTCTGAAATGCCCAGCTCAGGGAACTTCCGGAAAGAAACAGTCATACTTTGAATTTATGAACCAGCTCTGAATGTTGCTCCAGCAAACAAAAGAAGATGTAAATAGAAATAAAGCTTTGAAAAGGAATTGGTGTTGTCGGCAATAAGCCAAAGGGGCTGGCTTGGCAAGGGAAGGAAGAGAGACAAAGGAGGGCTCTAGGGTAAATGCTGTTAATGCACAGTCTCAATATGAGATAATTAGCATTTTCCACACACAAAAAAGGTACATCAACATACACATATAGGGTTCTATCTTCTGGCTTTTCACAGGCTTCTTATTTACAACAGGATGCTTGAATAGCAGGCCACAGAGGTTTTCATTTTCACTTTGGGTTTTTAACTAAGTAGCAGTATAAACTTATTTCATAAACAAGCTCATTTTATAGGCCTGATTTTACGACTAGCAAGGAGTAGGTCAGCTTAACACCCAAGAACCCAGGGTTGATCACTGGCAGCAGAGCTGGCGCTTCCCACTGCATCCACCAAACCCACCCCACCTCACACGCCGGGGTGTCACCCAGGCCGGTAGTGCCTTTCTGTCTTAATAAACATGAGGAAACAGCAGGGACAACACAGCACTGAGCGAGCTTCCCATTTTGCCGACATGCCGGCCGCTCAGTTACCGAGGCCAAGATTCGGCGCTCTCTACCACCCACAGCTCCTCAAGGCTCTCTTGGTCCATACTAAAAAGCCAACCATGCTGAGCAGGACAAGCTGCTGCTAATAACGCAGTATCACAGAGGCAGGACTACGAACTGCCTTTACCCTGTTAATGGACTTGAGCCCTCACCCAAAGAGACCACCTAGTCTCTCTGCTGACATATGCGTGGCCATGAAGAATGTAAGAGTAAAAGCTTCCAGATAACTCACATATGACTTTGGTAAATTAAAGGCGACCTAAATGCCATTCCTAGGTGTTCCTCTCCTGTGAGCAACCAGACTCTTAATAACGTGGTTTGCCCGAGCTGAGCACAGCTCCATAGTTAAGTCTTTTGGCCTCCCACAGAGTGGGGCAAGGTTTAAGGACTCTAAACAACCCACTGAATAAAGCCAAGAAATACAGCTGCAACCCGAGAATTTGAGATGGGGAGGAATGGGTTTCTATTTATGGTCCCAGGCTGGGAGAGATGGAATGGGAGGAGACTTCGGAGCATCATGACATGATGAGCAGCCCACATCACATTTAAAAAAAAGCGTCATGCCGAAGCAATAGCAACTTGCTTCCATCGTCAGAATATTCCTGAAAAAGTTAATAAAAGTCATCTTTGGTTAGGGAGACTAAACTATGTGAGAACCTAAAAGCTCTCCCTAGAGTTCTTCATTTAGGAATAGATTTACTCTGAAACCCAGGACACTGATGCATGAGGTTATTTTCCTGCAGTTATTTCATGATTGAAGTGGTGGATCCTAGCCTGGAAGACATGTCTTTGTCTAGCTTGGAATAAAATCCAGCTGCAAACAAGAAAGATTTCATGCCACGTTATTTTTCCCCGATGTCCACCTAATACAACAATTCGTAGTTTTATTCCACACTCCTCCTCATAAAGAACAAATTTCTGGAAATGCCTTTTTTTGGTACAAAATTCAGAATGAAATAAATCAGGCTGAAGCTCCAAAGTATTCACTTCAAAATGAGCTGAATCCAAGGCACACAGGTAACGTGGACAACTACATAGGCTGGAAGTTACTGAACCTTCTACTGAAATACTTGGTAGCATTGCTCTTTCAGGAGAAAATTTCAATATAGACCAAACATTGATCATATTCAGGACAAAAGCTGCTAAGTCATTAAACAAGCTCTTGCTACACATAATATTTTTTGACCTCAAAACTCTGGAAAAAGGTAGCTAGCAAAATGATGCAACTAAAAGTACCACTCTTACCTTCCTGAACACATCTTTGAGCAAGGAAGCAAAGGTCAACAGCAAAGTAGGCAATGGGGAAAAATTTTACGCAGCATGAAGAAAATTAATATATTAAAATAATACACAAAGGGTTTTTAGAATGCCATGCTACAAACAACCTATTAAAAAAATCCTAATTACTGTATCAAAATGTCTGCTACCTTAATTATTAATGATTAGTTCTGTTACTGTAAAGCTGGACATCTTTGCAATATTTGGTATCTAGAAACAAGCAGAGAACCATCGGCTTCAGACACTCTGTTACGTAGCTCCCTCCATGGAGCACAGAGGTGGTGAAGCTCCAGGCTTTGTTGCTCTGGATTCTGCCTATGATGGACAGTAACTACTCCCACAAGGACAGTTTTGGGCAAAGGAGTGCTAGGAAGGGGCGCAAGGATTTCAGGATAACTGGGGGACTGCATACGTGTAGATCGAGTCTATTTGACCTTCCTCCTCGGTTGTGGAGGGCTCCAGTGAGCACCTGCATGTGATGGGCGAGGAGGATGAGCCCAGCCTGTCCCTCTCCAGGAAAGGTGTTGGCCAAACATCGCACCAGCTTACAGCAAGTCACTTTTTAATCAGTGCTGGGGGAAGAAGTCGCTGAATGTGGATTACGCTTTGCTCCAGCAGAATTCCTGGTGAGCCATTAACACTGGTTAGCTCGAGGTCCAGAGCCTGTCTACTTCCAGCCACTCAATTCTGTAGCTATTTACGTGCCTGGTGCTAGGAGGAAAAGGAACATCTGCAGCGTCCCTTTTCCCTTGCCAAAGCCTGCTTGAAAAATCAGGGATCAGTCGATTCCTAGGCAGGCTGGAAATACATACACCAGCACAGTCTAACTGGTAACGGGTTGTTTTATTTATTTTGCAGGTGTAAAGCAGTTACTGATCACACCTTAGCGTTAACTTGACATACATGTCCAAGCTGCTTTCCAAGCGACACAGTTAACTTTTACTTGAACTCCTCTTCTCCCAGTGACATAGTTACTTCTTACAGTAAGTCCTCTCCTTACACTCAGCACCTGGCACAACCAAACACTAACCTGCTTCTCAGCTGCCCTTTTGAAGTTTATTTTTAGCCTTTCTAGTTAGAGGAGAACAATCAGAAGGAGAGGTGGAATCTAACTCACTGATTTCTAACCTTGGGAGTCAAAGTCAGCCAGATGAACAGCCCAAATTTGAGCCCAAATATCGTAACTAGAGGCCCACATTAGTGATTTTTGCAAGTGCCTGGAAGAGGCAACACTACCGCTTACCTTTTGGAGGATATTCAGGGGGCAGAGCTCCCCAGGTGAGCAGATACAGCTGCGGTTCCCAGTACATGAGTTTAAGGAGTTTATTTTCCTAAAGCAATCCCGAAATGCTTCTTAGCACAGATGTGACTTCTCAGTTCCATCTACCCGCACTGAATATGCGGCAGCTGCCAAAGTTGCCCAGCCTGAAGTACTTCTGTTTTTTGAAAAATAAATAAATAAATAACCCTAGCTAAAATAAATCCCCAAACCACCAGCCTCATTTGTTAGCAATGAAAAGCAAGTATGCTTTTCAAGGCATTATCCACAGCCATTTTCTTCTCTGGGACAAAGATGAATTGCCCTTTGGTAAAATATTTACTTAATTTGGCTAAAAGTCTTGATCTTGCCTTCTTGAGATACACGTGCCTTAAAATAAAGCAGTGTTTCCTCTTATCCAGGAAAAGCCCAGCTTTAGTGTGAATTCTCGCCCCAGAATTGCAGGCTGTATTAACTTCGGAACCACGGAAAAATCTCAAAATGCAGGCTCTTGTTAGATGCACAGACCCTGACACTCGGCTAAGTCCCAGTTTGAAGGAGTCTCTGCTGCCGGCTCCTTCCCAGTCCTAGGGGCTGACCCGGGCAGCGAGAGGTCCCTTCCAGCCTCAACCACGCTGCGATCCTGTGAGATGTAAAGGCCCAAAATCACACCCCTCGCACCGTACTTAGTCCCTGGCTGCTGTCCCACTTGTGCCGCTTCCCGTCTGCTCAACGCGGGCACTTCCCAGCGGCTCCGCGGAGCAGACAGGGGCTCCATTCACTGCCCCTTTCCAACAGCTGCTGAAGAACCAGGACAGCACGAACCCGCCGGGATGGATTCCTGCCCGCGTCCAGGATGGAGCCAACAAAGCACTCGCCGAAATAACGTGTTCAGAAAATCCCCTCTCTGCGCTACGGCCAAATTGATACAGCTTTGAAGGAGAAGGGTCTGCAGGAAGGCAGGACGCGTTCAATTCTAGAATAATCAAAGCTACCAAAAATGTCACTATTTGGATTGCTGGTGTATTAATAAAAAAAGTTGATTGGGCCTGGAATGACCGTGCTTAGTGTGTGGTAGTTCAGTGATGGATACTATTCCGCAGAGATCAGAGTTTTTGATAGAATAATAAAAGGAAACAGCATTAAAAAATAACTGAAGAAAGATCAGACTAGGAAGCATATTCAGCTTGAATTTTAAGCAGCTAAGATCAAAATGTGCTTTTTAACATAGTCCACTATTCCAGAGATAGTAAATGTTTAATCTACTGCAAAGTTAACAGGCACTGAGATTATTTCTTTTGGAAAGTGGGGATACTTCTTCATTATGTAGGAAGATCATCTGTGGAACTGGAACTACTTTTCTCTGTGTCCCATTCCACAAATTGACACTGAATTTCCCACCGTTTCCTCAAGCAGTCACTCAATATTGCAAGATCCTCCCGCAGTTCCTCAGTCAACCTTTGCCTCTGCTGTCTTGAACAACCTGGCATTATCAGCAACTCTACCACCTTGCTATTCAATTGCTGCCTTTTCACATCATTTGTCATAGTCTAATAGCAGATTTTAAGGAGAATATTAGTGAGTCCAAAAAAAAAGGTAGAAATAGAGATGATGTCTTTTCTATTCGGCTTTTCTATTTGGTAGCTCCTCTATTTCTAGCACCTCTTCTCCAAGCAAAAGCACGAAAGCCATTCTAGCAAGTCAGGCACTATAATCAGTGCTCAGTGCAGTGTTTGACCTGGTTTAATCATCAGATATTGCCATACCTATGGTGAGAAGCATAGAAAGGAAGACAAAATGACTGCAGGAAACTGCAGAACCAGCAGACTAGTTAAACAAGGTGCAACTGGCTCTAGGGAGACTCAGAGCAGGAGATGGGAAACCTCAGCGTGTGCCAACGCAAGCAGAGCAGAAGCATCCTGTAGAGGAAGGGTTTTTCTACTCGTTTGGTTGCAGAGCAGTAAACAGAAGTAACAAAAATAGAACACTGAGGAAGTGAGTGACTGAATTCCCCAGAACATACAGTCCAGACCTGACTGGGTTAAGGACTGTCACTTCAAAAAGCAGAGACTACACAGAAAATCCTGGGATTAGCCTTCGCTCAGGCTAGCGAGGAGCGTTCGCAGCAGATGATGATCTGCATTTTCATGCATGAAGCACAGAGCTGCTCACAAGACAACCTGCTGCATGGACAAACAGTAAAGTCAGAAGACCACAAAGAAGTCAGAAATTCCAGATTTAGCTAATAATGTGCCAAAAGACAAAGTGCCCCAAACACAAGATTTTCTGCCTACATTCAGTAATGACCTGGCCGTAATGCAATTTATTCTGCTGTAGCACCGAAACCGTTCCCTGAAAGCAGATGTAGGGCTGCGTCTGGGAGAGAAGGGAACTTTGAGGTGGACCCCGCTATAAAATGGCTTTGTTTAGACACAGTCAGGGAACAAGACCTGCTGCTAGTTATTTAAGGAGCCTTCCTCCCACCGAGTCCTGGCAGAGCTGTGAGAC